TTTTAAATCAACACTTTGCAAATAAATGGATTGGTCGTGGAGGTCCTATTGCATGGCCTGCTCGTTCTCCGGATTTGAATCTATTAGATTTTCATTTGTGGGGACATTTAAAATCTATTGTACACGCAATGTCGATTGAAAATGCTGAAATACTACGAAATAGAATAGAGCAAGGCTTCCGACAAATTCGAGAAACACCAGGAACGATAGAGAGAGTAACCAGATGAATGACAAGACGCGTGCAGGCTTGTCTTCAAATGCAAGGTGGTGATTTCGAGCATCTTTTGTAAAAGTAATTAAAACAGAAAATTCATTATATCCCATAAACGACAGATAAGACATATATTTATATGACTTGTTTTCATTATTTTTAGGCGTACAATCAACTCCCGAAGTGAATCCCACAAGTTATGAAACACCCTGTGTACATATATATACATATTTTTTTTTTCGTTGCCAGCGGAACTGGATCGCGTTAAATAACAGCGGCGAACAAATGTCGATGGCTCGATTATAATGGGAATATTAATTCAATTAAAATAACAGCGGCGCTGGCTTGTTGTTTGACTTTTGTATTGTTTGAAATGCGTAATAGAAGTGCGTGCGGAAACGGAGTAGAGGGGGGGAAATCAATCAACACAGGCGAAGAAGGGGAGAGCCGTGTAGCAACGGTTCCCATATTCAACGGTCGTATTTCCCATATTGTACAATGGCGAAATTGCACGCAGTGTTCGGATGTTTAATAACTTTTGCTCGGATCGAATCATTTGTTTAACATCGATGCCGTGGGGTTTTTTAATGAAAACGTTTTCGCTTTAACTGGATCAATTAGAAGATGATACACCGTGCGAGATTCGAACAGGTTTGATGTTACAGAGTTTCTTTTTTTTTTTTCTTTTTTTTTTTGAGCGGTTTGTCGCGATGGCATAAATCGCAGCGAAATAAATTATCACGCGAGGTTTGAAATATAATACAGTAAGTCTCGAAAATTCTGGATTTCTGGCTCGATAATTTTGTATATAATATTTATTGATACAAGGTATAATTTAGAGCAGTACACAGTTGATTTCAGACTATACTGCTCGAGTACGCATTTACACATGCATGTTCAACTGCATACTCGTTCAACAAATTTTTTTTTTACAATTTTCGAATCATTCTCTAATAATTCTCCAAGGATTCTACGATTCCGCGATATCTCACTGACAATTCTTGATAATTGCATTGCAACTTCTCAAAGATTCATTCATGATTTCCCAGATTCATTGATAGCCAGAGTCTTGATAAGTTTATCAATGAGGTCTCTGTTACTGCACGACGATAATCATCTGTCGACACTCTAACGATTCTACGATAATCATCCAACGACTCTGTCTACACGATCTTTCTCAATCTCAAACACTTGACACGTGTTAACAGGCATTCTTACTTTCCGCGTGTATTCTTAAAATTAGCTACACCATTCTCTCTCCTTTGCTCATTGTCATTCCCCAGGCGTTTGTCATTCACAATTCACTGCGTTTGCAGATCACTCTGCCTCTACAATTACATACTTCTGCACTCAGCCTCTATATTTCCTGAGCCTCAAGTTACCAGTAAAAACAATACTTTTATACCATTGATAATTTTAAGTGTCTCAATCGACATTTAAAATTCAAGAGTAATTAATAATTGTGATAAAAACTTGAATTTTATTAAAGTAATTAATAACGATTGAAACATAAATTTTTGTACCATTAACAATTTCGAAGTCTCAGCTTCGGACGTTATGTGAGCTAACCGCAATCGCTCGAAAATAGTGAAAAAATTCCCCGAGAATTACGATCAGAATATGTAAACGAATCGAAGAAGAATTCCCCGTTAATCTCAAGTGATCGGTTTTTATTTCTCTTTTATTTCTGCGCGATCGACCGGCATGAGTCACAATTAAATTCGTGGAAGGTGAAGAACAACATCAGCCAAGCCAAGCCGCAGAAATTGACCGCAGAGTGAAAAAACGACTTTTCGCTTAAATCGAAGGAGGAAAATCCTTGCGAAAACCGCGAACCTGACCGCGTTTTTCCACTGCTGCTGCTTCTTTTTCTTCCTTTCGATCTTTCCTTGATCCTTGATCTCCGATCTCGGTGTGATCGCGACTCACCGATTGCCGCTAGAACTGTCGACACGAAAGTACAAAATTTATATCAGAGAAATCGAAATGCAAATAGCAGGAAATATTCGCGATACAACGGAGAACGGAAACTTTCATGTATACATTTTACGAAATATTACTCGAATGAAGGAATGATTCCCTAATCACTCGTTTCAGTCAATTTTATATTATATATATTATATATATTATATTATTACATTATATATTTATATTATATTATATTATATTATTTTATATTATATTATATTATATTATACTATATTATTAAATTCTAATTTTTAATATTAGGAAATTCCACGAAAAGAAAGACATTTCGTTTGACATTTCTCCTCCACGTAGATTCTATGATCTTATGAAATATTCAAGAAACTGAAGGTAACATCGTGATAAATATATCCATGATTTCTCGATGGATCAGTTTAGTACCGATGACTAAAGAGACTAGAGTGAGTCATAAATTAGTTTCTACTGAAATAAATCCGTAATTTTTTCATTATACAACATATTTCTTTTAATTTTTCATTTTTACAAATTAAAGTACACTGCTTGAACTTAAATTTAATTAAAAATTAATAAAATTAATTTTTAGTCTTACATTTTGATGTTTCATTAAGAAAGAAAAAAAAAAAAAAAAAAATAGGTATGAAGAAACCCTAATGATATAAAAATACATCGGTGTTTTCAAATTTCGAAGACAATGGTCGACGAAAGGAGTGTCAAGCAAATCCTCTAGCGAGATTGCTTCTTTATTCGAAATTCGATAACGAGTTCTAGGCTCGAAAGAGATTACAAGCGAAAGAGTTACCGCTACTCTTCGGATCTCCGCGTGCAGGAAAGTTTGAATTCGCTTTCGGTCGCGAAGAGTAGAGGAGCCGAAGAATAATTAACGACGTTGGAGCGTGTCATCGCGCTTTATAAAAGCGCGCGGTACGGGAGTGGGACACGAAGGAAATCCAGCCGCGAGGAGTTTTGCTTGTTTACGTACCGCTGGCAGGTTCAGTTTCTTCCTTCCTCGTCCTCGAGAATGAGATCGACGCTGGCTCGCGTCGGCGCTGGCGTTCGATTGCTTCCTGAGATTCGCGCCCGCGAATGTGCCGATCGTGTGCTCCTAGCAATTTTTTGACAAAAGACATCGTCAACTCGTAGTCGTTGAAGTCGCTAGAAGTAAAACAGGTGGAGCAAGATCGTGGAGCAAGTGGAGGGGAAAATTTACTTCTATCTGCGTTCGTTGTTAGCAGCGGCTGAGTTTAGGAGAAAAATTGTGCGCAGCGGTCGAAACACACTCGAAATCTCCGAGTGAAAGGAACGTTTGGAAAGAAAGGGTACACCAGAGAGGAAGAAACTTTGATTGGAACCGTCGTACTTTCTAAAACAAAATGCCCCGAGCGATGCCTGCGGGCTTAGCCACGTTTTAACACGGTAACAGCTTGCTTCTTACAGCGCGAAGTTCCGACGTGGAATTCGTGATATTGATACAGGGTGGGCGACAAGTTCTTTCCCGCCTGCATGTTCTCCTTTTCTTTTAATAAAAACATCGAAATATAAGGAAAAGTTAATTTTATTAATTTACATGATGAATTATATAACATATAATATTTGAAATAATATTAATAATAATAATATATAAATATATATTATTATTATACGTATTAATATATAAATATATATTATTATTACATGTATTAATATATAAATATATATTATTATAATATAAATTTGAAATAATACTAATAATAATAATAATATAACAAATTGTCATGATTTGTTTTAGTAGTGATTAGAAGTGATTTTTGGCCCACTCTGTATTAATAATGATAAACTTGAGTAGGATCTTAAGATTAGAGTGTAATAACCTGTCTATGTATTGTTGGTCGATAATAATTTGCGTCATGTCCATTAATTTTTCAATACTTTAATTTACAGCGTAAGTTCTACATACTTTATTAGGCAAGACAAAAATTATAACGTAAGACACGATAACATTGCATGTAACAGCTCCGATTAATTAGTACGCGTAAATTACACTATATACATGATAATGTAAACTACAAATTACGATTAGTTCATCTAACTCGAATCTGACATAAATGATCGTGATCTGAACTTGAAACAAATTCCGGGAATAATCGAGTAAAATTCCCATAGCAGACAGTTTATGAATGCACGAACGAGCTTTTAAATAATTAACGATTCGATTCAGTCAAGCACGTGGTATTGCGTTGATGTTATAATACGTACAATGCTGGAGATATAGTCTGTCCCGGTTTACGCAATAGCAGGATACGATTCGTAATTAAACGTCTCTCTCGTGAAATTATTTATTACAATACAATATGTACAGAATGCAATATATAATATAAAATATCTATATTATATAATATATAAAATATCTATAATATATAATATATGAAATATCTATAATATATAATATAAAATGTTATATATTATATAATATAAAATATCTAGAAAGGGTAGAGTCAGTGCACGGATATAATTGAAAAATATCGAAAGGAATATCTGTTCTATCTTGACCTTGTATCTTAATAATGCCCAATGCGATAAACCTATCTCGCTGATCTCTCTCAGATTAGATTCGCTATCTAATGGCTTGATCTCGCTAACCATTTACAATCACTTTGTAGATAGAACTACAATTGCAGCCTGTTTGAAAATTATCTAAATGTAATGATTTCATGCCATGCTTGACTGGAATACACGTCTTACACAACATATTTAGCCTTACAACGAAATTTTAATAAATACTCTTATAATTCCCAAAATTCTTTTTCTAATTCGAGTATTTTTTGAAAGAACGAAGATACTTTTTCTTTTATTGTCTACTGTTATCAATTGACGTGTCACGAACGATAGAATTCAATAAATTTCAAATTTCTGAGCATCGAGCGTCTATCAAATGGAATTTCTATAAAAATTTGATGGACTTTTATTCGCAACGATCGACAGTTTCTCTACGATCGTAAAAGTTCGATTATTGGAACGCATGCTTTCGTATTGCATAAGTGACAGATAATACCTGCTACCACGTGATTCGTTTCATCAGAAACAGGTAGAGGCTCGCTGTTTTAATAAAAACTGTCCTTCGATTCTACGCTAGAAAAGTTAATAAAACTAACAGCACTAGTAAGTAACATTGCAAAATTTGCGATAAAAAGTAATTACAATTTTCAATATGCGGGTTCTAGCGCGTGTCATAGTCATAAAGATTGACAATTTGCTTTACAACGGCCTTCTAAATTCTCTCTGCGACTCTTCTTCCATTTCATTCAACCTTAGAATGTTTATTTCATTTTATTTTTATTTTACTGAACGTTAGAATCAGATGATGGAAAACATACCACCTTGGAATTTATTTAGTGTTGCATAATTTTAATAAACAAAGGTTAGTAAATGTATAATATTCATGTAACGACACTTAGTATTAGTACGAAACAGGAAAATTTCCATTTTATTAACAGTTCTAAGATCGATCAAAATCATGGGGTATGCTAAATAAATTTAGTATCCTTTGTATCGTATCGACAATTAACATCCACAGGTAATACGATAACATTGATCGCCATGATTTGAGCAGCAACAGAAATCGAAGAGAATGTGACAATTCCACGTAACAATGCCACGTAACAATGCCAAAAAAAAAGTCATGATCTATTCGTTATCGAAGTCGTTCAGTTTCGCCCATTGTTTCAGTAAATTCAGCGATTTTACGGAATTGACAGGCGCAACAAGAAACCGGATGAAAGTGCAAGGCAGAGAGATAGAAAGATATGTAGCTCGGTGTCGAGTTAAAGACAGCTACTATGATTTTCAACAATTCCACCGTCGGCAATCGTGGCTTCGTTATTTGCACTGTCGCGAATCATCGTTTCTGTTGTCGACGGGACCGAAACGTGCACACCTTGTCGCGATCACTTTGTCACGATCGGCACGTTACCGCTGCATTGGTCACAGTAGTGACGTAATTGGGACCGCGAATCTCGGTTACGTTTAATTAATTGCGATTTCACGTCACAACACCACGAAACTCCCATCTTTTGTCGTTAATTCTCCGTGCAGTTTCCAGTCCATTCTTCTCTTCCTCGATTGGAAAAATATATTCTCTCAACAATGCGTGCAATTCTATCGTTGAGTCTTGCAACGAAGATCTAAAATTTATTTAGCATGCCTTTATTAGTACGTGCGTCCTTTTCTTTTTATCTTCTGTATTAAAAAACAGCTTCTGAAAAGGTGGATTTCTTATTGAAAATTTTTATTCTGTTTCAAATTATTGTGTTTCTATTATTGTTATATTATGTGTGTTTCAATTTTCTCCGTTGCGAAAAGAACGTCAGTCTCCCTGTTCTTTTTCGTCAAATATTAATATTATACATTTATATACTTGATTGTACATTTAAATTCGTTAAAAATAAATTTTTTCTAACGTAGTTAGAGATAGACATAATTAGACAAAATTAGAGGATAGAGCTGTGCTCTTCATTACACATTTATTTGTCTATTTATTTATGAATTTGTTTCGAAATATTTAATAAATTTAATATTGTATGAAATATCATCGCAATAATTACATTTATGGTGGTATCGTTAAAGATCGAGACACGATGTACCATCGTGGCAATAAAGGAATCACCGTAAAATATTTGGGTAGAGCATGTCCAAAACTAGAACAGCCTCTTGTACGCGACGAGCTTCGCGAAAATCCGTATAATGAATGAATAACGAAGCCAATTTAAGGCTCGCGTAACCCATCAAATTTTCTTGTATATCCATATCATGTTCAACGGCCACGGAAAGTTTGCTTCCATAGATTCTACGTGGAAACAAGTTACTCGGAACGTTGGGAAAATGGAACATGACGTTTGAAATAAATCGTCGGAGAAATTTCTTATCGTACTTTCCAGTAATTACATGGGAATTTACATAGAATAATAGTGAATTTTTCGGTTTATACTCTCGGTCCGTGGTTCATCTGAGTGCTTGCTAACACTTGAGGGAAACGTTCATTAATACTCGCGATTTGTACCAGAGAAACGAAACTAAAAGAAATTTGGAATGTAAAAATTTAGAACGTAGCGAAGAATAGAAGCTCTTGTTCGTATCTTTTTTTTTTTTTTTTTTAACTATCGTTGTGAACCTGACAAATTTCTGTGAAAATCTAATGTTAAATTAATTCTGGAGACGATTGTAATCATTTTGGAGACGAATACAATTTAGTTCAATACAGGCCTGTATTTTCTTTGATTTCTAAAACACGTAAATGCACGTGCGTAAAACAGTATGCGGATTTTTAATCATTTCATTCATTTATGAAAGACGTGAAGTTGCAAAAATACGTAAAGTGCAAAGGATTATAAGATTATAAGATAAATATCGAAAATATCAAATTGAACAGACAATTGCAGCCCGAGTAACGGATAACAGAGAAGAATACAAAAAGATTCTCGAACACTTCATTCGTCACGCACATAAACGCACATATGTTTCGTTCGCAAAACAGCTGGTCGAAATAGTTGAAACCCGGGTGATTTATAGCGTCAAATTTCCAGCGTTTATCGGTGAAGAAAAACGAAAGGGAAACCAGGCTCGAGAGAGAGAGATAGAGAAAGAAGGAGGGGGAACTTCAACGAATGGAAATTATAAAGGACTGACTGAAAACACGAAGTGTATCCGAGGTTCGGGATGTAACTTCGTTTCCGGTTCGCGCGGATTTATTAATCGGGAGTCGGCGCGGCTCCTCTGCCGCGCGAAGAACGCCAGATAACTTCGGATAATAATTCACGCACTCGTCCGCGTTGGGTTTTCTTTCGTAAGCTAAATATTCACCGTTGGAAAAACAGCGTCGTAAATTACGTAGGAGCCACCACGCTCCTACGGGTGGAAAACTTCCCCGGGAAAATACAATCTTTCGCGATTGCATTTTTTCAGCGTGTGCGGCGCAACTGAGATTCCTGATGGCGAGGAGAAAAAAAAAAAAAGAGAAAAGAAAAAGCCGAAGCTGGTACAGGCTAGTTTAGAAAATATGAACGACAACGCGATTTGTTGGCGTTTGCGCAAATCGGTTTTAAAGTGTCAAAAATGGATTTGCAACACTGAACTCTGTCCAGGAGAAAGACTCGACAGTTTTACACTTTTAGAATTTTTACAGTTTTTACATTTGTTCTCTCTTGTTTTTAATGAGAAATTATTCACGTATCGTGCGTGATATTGTTTGAACGAATGTTTTAAGAAAATGTGAACTAACGCGAATGTTCGAGAATCTTGAGACAAGTTATTTGTTTCATACCTGGAAAGATTAAATAATACTTTATATATCAAAGAATTTGTAAAGAATCTGTACATATATACAGGATGTTTCCAAATCTCAACCATCAAACTTTGTCAATATGTTTGGAAGACTTTGAGCA